CAAGGTTTTGTCATCATCAGGTACCTGTGTACCTGATGATGACAAAACCTTGTCGAAACGTTGTACATTTGCTGTCATGTTAAACTTATATTAAAGTTTTTCTTCATTACCCATTTAAGCCGTCTCCAGCCATTATTCAGGCTTGGAGGTTATGCAGTCCATCACATGTCATTGGGGTTTAATTTCTAACATTGTTTAGTCCTGCGATGGACATTTATCAACGGAATTGACACACATGTCAACAATGGTGTATTGAGAAGAGGTTGAACCCACTTCAATCAAAAGTGCCAACCATAACTCATTTTTTGATCTGGCTGTTAGGTAAGGGTTTTGCATCTTCCACAATTGCTGTGTATAAGGTGATCTTATCGACTACCTTTTGATACTTAAGACACAATTTCTTTGAGTCCGCAGTACTCTCTGGCTTCCTCAAGTCGCTTTGGGTTCTTTGTCCCAAATTACCATTCTAGTTACCTAACTGATATATTAAGGTTACATCTTGCATCACCTGCTGCTGACATACAGATATTGCCAATCAGTGTGGTTTGCATAGATTGTCCACAGGACGCTTTATCATTCTACCTATATTCTTAGACCGGTTCTTCTTCCCTAAGACACTGATGAGGTGGATCTGAAACTGGTCCATATCACTTATTCTGGGCTCTCTTTGAAGGCGAGGAGTCTTCTGGGAGTCATGTTTCATCAGATTCATGACATTTCTATGTGCCCTTATCAACCTGGTTGAATTGCCTACTGGAAGATATTGTGTGGGCTGGTATGTGGACTTCCCTGAATACTTTTATGTCACATTATTTGCGAGATCTGGCAGTATCATTATCTGAGGATTTTCTACTAACCCCTGTAGCTATATTAACCACATCTGATAGATTATACAGATGGGTGAGTATTTTCAGTGCTACTCTTGTCTCTTCTTTATCTTTCAGGGTCCCTTACCTCATTTTCACAGGATCCCACTCTGTGGTAAGTGTTGCCCAGGCAGGTGTGCTTTTATCAAACCAATTCCACACTATCAACCACCAATTCAATAAACTCCATCCAGGTTGTAACACATAGAGGCTGACTGGGTGGTATTATTGGATCATGCTTAATCGCCACTCATGGACTATCGTGAGTAAAGCATAAGAGGATCCTGCTTGTCCCTGCCAATCATTTGATTGAATAAATTGGGGTCAGTTTTATTTTTAAAATTCAGGGAACTTTGTTCACCTATTGCATTGTTCCACAGGGCTCCCCAACATGCATTTCCCCCCAGTTTCCAGTCACTGGGGTGGTAGACAGAAGTTCTTCCACCAGAGTGTTCAAGTGAATTCCTCCAATCTTGGAGAAGAGGCCAACATTGGGGGCCCTCTTACCCAGGTCCCTGGATGTTTGTTCCCAAATGTTGGTAGAAGAGGCACCAGCCTATGCAGGAGCCTACTTGTAATACTGGATCAGAAGTGATGCTCGGCTATTGGTTCAGTACATTGTCTGTGGAAGAAGGTTCATTGTCTCCTTGTAATTGCAAATGCAGAGTGGTCCCATCCCAGGTTCTTGGTTGAGCATAATTTGTTCCACATCCTCCCAATAATTCGAGAGACAAGAAGAATTTACCTTGCCCACTCAGTTGGGGAGTGAGGATGAGTGTTCATAATTCCAGACTAGATGAGTTCTGTTTCCTTTGGTTGAGTAAGGCTTACTTGATCCCCTCATTCCAAGCCTTAGGTGTTGCCTTTCAGACTGTTTCAGGTTGAGGAAAAGGTTCGTCCACTTCTGTGTAGCTTACCTTCTCGTCATGATTCCAGTGACTCTGAATGCATCACTCTGTGGTTACTGGTTAGGACCCAATCTAAAAATAAGTATATATATATATATGCAGTCCAATTGTCCTAACCGAGCAGTGGATCCTTGCCTATCTGGTTGGGCCTGGCCAATAATGATGGTAAATCATGTAAAGTTCCACCCACAGTACATTAATTACATTACAGGTGAAGAGCATACCTGTTCTGGATGTAGTGTGGCTCCCCCACTAGGATGCCAATCTTCTATTGACACACCCATGATCTATGTAGACACTTTCTGTGTGGATAATGCCCTCACCGGCCTCTCCACCTTCTCTGTGTGGGATTCTAGCTGTAGTGTCAGAGGATGTAAGTATGTTTTGGAATTTAATATTTTCTTAAATCAAAAATGTATTTCCAATATTACCTACCCCATAAAACTCCCCCATGCTCCCCCCCCCAATAAGAGCCAATGCTAAACACTGCGGAATGGGTCAGTCTTGAAAAGTGATAATATTATATGAATGAGGTGCTTATATACAGTAGCAGGATAGAGGGCACATTGATGTAGGTGGAGAGTGTCACATGACAGATATCACTAAGAGCAGTTAAGTGGGGAATAAAAGACTGGACCAAGTGAGAAAAATTTATACCTATGCTTAGATGGGCAAATGAAGAAAACCCTGGATTCAAGTAATAGCTGCAGTGTGAGAGGAAGTAAGTATTATTGGAAATACATTTTCAAATTAAAAAATTTTAATTTATACTTCATTCATGAAATATTTCAGCAGTTGATTGCCTTGTACTTATTGTGTTCACTGTTAAATATAAACTAAATCCTAAAAGCTACATTCTACTTTTTATGAACTGTATTGGCCCGATTATAGGGCGTTCTGAAATATGAGGCGACCCCAATTTTCAGAGACCTTGGGAAAGAAAACAAATTGAATGTCATAACATCATTTTTTTTAGATTCACAAAATCAATACTGTAACTGAACAGCCTGCAGGTGGATTAGTTGCAAGAATTAGTGATGATTTTGAGTGAACATCTGGTATTCATGTGTAGACGGATGCTACCTGGACATCCAGGAATGTGACAGGCTAGAATAGGGGCCTGTGGTCAGTCATGATTATAAGGCAACTATGAATTTTACACTCTAATTATTAATCAAAAAACATCGCCTTATAATCAGGCCAATACTGTATATGTTATTAAATCAAAATATCCTATAGAATGCAGTATTTATGCTATAAGATTAGAATGGACCAAAGAATGCATGTTTCATCTAATTGTAGGTGAAAATAGTACCAATATATGTGAAGTGCATGTAATTAGGTGAAAATAGTACCAATATATGTGAAGTGCATGTGGTTAAATCCAAATCAATCAAAGGGAATAAGATGCATATAATTAGTTAAAAAACAGACTGAAAGAAGTATAAAGATGTGTTTCAAACCTGATGTGGATTAATTTGAATGATAGTTAACCATCATGCATTCATTATTCTGATGTATATGATGATAAATTATTAGATGCACAATATTTGAATGACATACATGAATGATTTATGCAACGTTTTGTTTGTTAAAAGTCAAGCAGTTTGTAAGAAAAATGTATTTGTCACACTAAATTATTGGTTTCTGAATGATAATTTTTTAGCAGTTAGTTTATTACATTAAGATTTGTTCTTTTTAAAAGACGTAAAGGAATCTTTGTTTTAAAAGTGTTAAAACTCACAAAGTTAACTTGATTATATTATGTGACTTTTAACACTTAATTATAATAAATGCAGGATAGATTTCTCTGTAGAAGAAGTTTTAAATAAGACTGCTGAGCTGGTGACTGTCTTACATGATCAAATTGTTCAGTACCATATCAAGTTACTAAGATGTGGAATTCTTCAAGATGTTGACAGTCATAACTGGCATGACTTGAAGCCATTCTTTGAGGTGAAACTTATTATACCTGTTTTGAAATTTGTTCAAATTATTGAGTAATATAAGTAAATGTAAAGTTGTAAATGTTCAAAGCCATGTTTTACATTAACATTATAATTATCTTTACATAAATTGGTTCCTTTATACCAGTATTTTGACGATCAACTATAATAGATATTTATAGTATTTTGGCACTTGTGTATAAAGTTATTTAAAACAGTTAATAGATATTTCTGATTACAGTTACATATGTGATGCTTATGTAAAGTAGTCAGTTTTTTATGGTAGGAACCTGTAATATTGGATTTTGAAGTCCCATATTGCTGATTTGTGTAAGCATAGTAAAACAGTTTTTTCATCCATATTAAAACAGTCATTACTACTCTTGATACTTCTGGTCATATGTATTATTAAGTAACTGTATACAATAGTTATTACCATCTGTCAAGACAAGATTCTATAGATGGATTATTTTTGTATTAGCTTTTCCATGAATTAACTGATATGGATATTACTGTTATTTCCAAACATTTAAAATTTTTAGCCATTGTTTAGTAAATAAAGGACTAGGGTGAACTTTAAAACATGACCTGAAGAAGTGATGTGGAGGCATCAGTGACACTAAAAACCTTTGATTGGGTCACTGTCATTTTATAAAAAAACTTGAACATTTAGCAGGGCTCTAAAGGTTTGGTTGTAATAATTTGTATCTTGTTTTTGCCATGTTTTGTAGTTATGGTTTATGTTGAGTTTTTTTAAACTAAATAAAATCTCCATGACTGAGTTCATATAAAACTCAGTTCCAACACAAGACAAAAACTTTGTTATACGTATGTAGTAATATCATTAATATTATTATATTGTTTATTTTTGGTAGTGTATGTTCGTTTTTATAACACTAAGACAATAAAAAAAAACTTATTTTCAATAAACAAACATTTTAATATACTTTCAGTCTATGTAGGATTGTAATATAATAAAGTAACACACACTTACATATATGTGTGTGTGTGTGTTAGCCATTACAGTTTTACTACTTTAATGTTGTGAATGAGAGCTGAATTGAGAAAGAAGGTCTGTAGTAAAATATATGAAACTGATGGCAAACTAAAGTAACAATAAATGCCATGAGTACCTTCATATCAAGTAAACAGCTCATGGCTTAAAATAGTGGAAGGGGAAGCCTCATACCCTTTTTTATATAATTTCATGACTTTGAAGCCCAGCATAACCAAGTTCCTTTATTAGTATTCATTATAATATAAGCATGTTTATTGTGTTACTTTTCCTAAATGGAGAAATATAAATAGTTTAAAATAGTCTTTCATGTTACCATGTTTGTAGAAACATAGAAGGGATGGTGTTTTTATTCATAGAATAAAAAAGAGTACATCAGTTATTTGGTGTTTTATATTCAACAGGGAGAAAGAGTTTCCTTTACTGTACAGATGTGGAACTTTTATATGAGAGGACTCGTTCATGATCTATGGAAGTTTTTGGCAGCTAGCAGAAGTCAGGTGATCCTTGGAACTATACTTGCTGAGACGTTAAAACAGTTCAGTATTCAGTATGTAAATGCTTTGCCCAGTGATGTAAGAACAGCACAGATGAAGGCTGACATCACTACAATTTTGTTAAGTGTTAGCCATATTCTAAGCTCAGTCTGCTCTAAGGAATCAGAAATGTTTGGAAGAATTTCTTGTTTTCAGAGTTCCCATACAGTAAGTTGAAATTTTTCTGCACAAGTTTTTTAATACAATTTATAGAAACTTCACTACAAAGCAACTTGTATAAGTACTGTATTTAATAGAGAAGAATTGAAGGTTTTTACATAGTGGTGTAAAAATTTGCTGATAGGCAAACATAATGATATTTTTCCTCACAATACACATTTTTTAAATGGGCCAAGGGATGCAAAATGTAAGTTATTAAATAGTAATTGACCAGTTTTAACATTCTCCTTGTCAGTTTTATAGGGCTAGATTCTTTACAGTAGGTGTCTGTAACTTGTTGGTGATAAATATCAACAATAAACAGACAGCACACAATCCACTTGTTTTAAAATAATATATTCAAAACAACACAAACTTGTGCACAAAAATTTGTGACATTATTTATTATCACAGTTGTTTTCAGAGCTTTAAATAATTGTCTCCTTTTTGTCAAAGTCCACACAGGTGGGTTCAAATACTTTAAAACACCCTTTGGCAAGACAAATTATTCTCCTTATCTCGTTTAAACTGTGAAACTTGCTTTAAAATATTGCCCATTATGGCTGAACTAACAGTCACACAGTCTAACTTTTCTTTAGCTAACTTAACTTTCACTAACTTACTTTAACTTCTTTCTAAATTGGCTGTCATGGCTAAGGTGACAATCACTTAGTCTAGATCTGTCTAATTATTTCTCATTTAACTTGCATTCTGTTTCTGCACATATTTATAACACATGACAAGACAAATCTAGAAATATCTAGCACTTTAGTGACAACAATATTACACATAACGAGAAAAACTTAGAAGTTCCAGGTAAGCTGGCGTCAACAATATTATAAAAGCCTAGTACAACAATTATACTACATACACAATGTACGACTCATACAGATGTAACAACATCTGCCACAACTGTTGCTTTTAAAATAATTAACTTTTAACACACTTGTTATAAAAACTAAATAATATTTAAATATTAAATCACTAAATAAACTGTATAATAACTCTTAAACCAAACAGTCTTATATATCTAACAATAAGCTCACTCTTCAATAAAAATACTATCATTATTTTTTTATTCTCTATACAAAGACTGTTTTCAGTTCATACACTAAGTCTCCTCATATAGTCCACACTCTGCAGTTCCCTTGTTGGTCTCTCTTTGCATAGGGCATCTGCTAATCTAGTAGTCTTCGTCTTGATCTTGTGTTGCCTAAGGTCTGTCTTTCCTAATCTATCTGTATACTGACACAGTACATTTTGTACCCCTTTTTTCTGCTTGCCAGTCAGTTCTTCACTTGTCAGGTGACAAAATAGTTTGGTGTATTTGATTAGCAGAAATTGCTTAGCATATTTTTAACATTCATCCTTTTAGCACATTATGGCAACTAAATCTAGCACTAAAAGTCTTAACTCTGTAAAGTCATCCACTAACGAAAAAGTGGTAAATGGTATGTTTTTATTCTAATAACACATTTATTCAGCTTCAAACCCTAATATTTAATTGAAACATACATAGTATTTCATGAACAAAATAGTTTCTGGTATATGAAGTAAAACTTCAAAACTGCATGAAATACCAAACATCTCAGCTGTCACAAAATAATGCAACAGTCGATTAACCAGAGAAAGAAGTGTCTTGAAGATATTACAACTGAACAAGGTTGCCACAAATCATTTTTTCAATATAATCTTTTTCATTGATGAGACCTCATCACTATCTTCTCAACATGGTCTTCTTGGCTTTTTCAAGAAGAAAATATCTTGTGACTTTTCAGCAATAGTTACCCCTTTTCACATGGGCATCCTTTACTGTGCATGTTGCAAGGTTTTTAGTGGGTTACATTTAAATGGTAATTAAACTACTTTTTGTTTGTTCATGTTATACCAGTTTATATAGCATAAAATTGTAGCTAATAATCCATATTTTAATAGTATACAAGTTTTAAATTCTTAATTTTATAAGGCAATATTAAAAAAACATGCATAATTCCCCTAGTGTGAGAAATGCGACTCATAGAATGGCTCAGAGTTTTTTCAAATACAAACTTTTAGCTCATAGCTCCATCACCTCTTGCCTGATTTGAAATCTAATTACAGTTGTGGACTCAGATTGATTGATGTATTTGACCACACCCAAGGTCTCATAGCTTAATTTTCTCTAATCCTGCCTAAAAGAATTTCAGTTTGAGGGTAGGCTGGTAGAGAACCTGATGAGTAATAAAATCACATTGGGTATGTGCGTACCCCATGCATGGTATTGCTGGCACACACAAATATAGCTAATAAAATGGAAAAGAGGTCTTGTAGATTAATTTACACTAATCCTGCCTAAAAGAATTTCAAATGCCATGGCTATTGAGGATTCCCTCTTCTTTCTCTAGGCATTCCCTTTCTCTAATTTATTTATCACCCTTCCAAAACGTATGAAATTTAATGTAAATTACTTATTATAATATTGTCATTGCTCAGATAAAGCATAATTTTTATAGCCTTCAATTTTGTTTTGTTGCAGAGCCATCAGATAGAAAGTCAGACCTTTCTTGCCACACCCACCTGTTACATCTCTCTTTCAGGATTTGTCAATAGTTCTCTCTCATATTTAATACTATAATATTTTTCACCAAATGATGTATTATATTTCATTGTTTTCTGTACAGAAAAATGTTAATTTCTCTTTCAGTACAAGCTTCGTTCCCATGGGAAACGCATAAACTAGCATGGATGAATTTGTAACGGCTCTTGTCGCATAGTTAGAAAGCCAGAAAAATTATGATAGTTATGAGATATTGTCTGCTTTTAGTATGTCATTATTCTATGTTCTTTGGCGCATTATTTAATTTTAAAAAATTTAGTGTACAACTACCTTTAGTACAAAGAAAAAAAGTAGTTAAGTGTCATTGACAGTCATCAGCAAATACAAAGAAGACCTCAGGTAAGTACATTATTTCTTGTTTTTCATATATATTCTTTATTTATTATTATAAAAGTAACTAAAATGTAAAAATGGGAAACTCTTTAAGTTAGTTAAGGTTAGATTAAGTAAGATATATAATAAATAATTTGGACGAAACACATACTCGAGCAGCTTGGAGTAGCTTGTGGGTAATGTAATTCGATAGCATAACATGAGCCACACATTCCCCAAGTGATTTACAACTTATATTATCATGGTGCGAATAGTACTAGTAGTTTGACATGGTTCAAAGGGCATTAAAACAATGTATAGAGTTAGCATAGAGAAGATAATGATAAAGTATAAAGTTTTACTGAAAAATAAATGTTTGAAATGAAATGTATTTAGGAGGTTTTAGAGATTATGCAAATGACTTTTGAAATTTTTGAGTGGAAGAAAAGTATTTCTAATCTTTACATGAAAATCGTTTTGCACATGGACTAGTCAAAAAATGACTAGCAAAATCTATAGCAAAAATACTTCATTGAAAGACTGATTTTGTGTACAAATGACTTGTAATGTTTACTAAATGTTTGCTAAATTTTGTGAAGATACACTTACTGTATTAAAAGTTATAGTATTAAAACTATATACAAGTAAAAATGGCCATGTGGTTGGCTCTTGGGACCGAGATTGTATTGAGACAGTTTGTAATCGGCTCAATGCTAAATATGCAGTGCATGTACTGTTAGTACATACTCTAGGTTGCGGGTGCCAACCAGGTGCATTCCAAATGTCATGAACAGACTACTAAAAAGGGTATGTGTATTATGTGCATGACAAAGTGTGAAAGTACTGTATATGTCCTTTGGTGGGAATTTCCAAGAAATTAACATCTGCTTTGGTTTACGACACTCTCACTGTGTTGTTGGAGGTCTCGAAGACAACCTACAACAGAAAGGAACGATTCTCACATTATACTAAACAAAGAAGAAAGTGATTTGCAGCTGGTGTTGTTTTGATTCACAAATTGTGATGCAAACCCAGATATTTTGTACCCTGTTTATGTTGATGTCCTTGTACATCTCATCTCCACCCAATGATCTTAGGCCTAGTATGTCTTTATCTTCTATAACGATGTCACCATCTTCTGATTCTGAGTCTATAACAACAACTCCTGCCATGTCCATCTGTACCTCAATAGCTGCATCTGTTGTGTCTTCTTCCCTCTCGAGATACCTCTTCAACAAATTGGCATGGTAGATCTTTGTCTTCCCATCCACTTTCACTTTACAGTACATTCTGTTGATAACTTCCTGTACTTCAAAAGGTCCTTTCCACTGCAGGATGAGTTTGTTGTTGTCTGTAGGTAGAGATCAAAGATCTTCTGTCTGACCTTGAAATATCAATTCTTGACCTTGTTATACAAGTACTTCTTACTGCCTTTGATATGTTTAGCTTCCCCATTAGAACCATTTTGATAGGTTCAGTTCAATACTCCTTTATGGTCCTCTGTTTTGTTACTCTCTTTACATTTTGTATTGTACTCGACTTTCTTTCAGACACTATCCCAAAGTTTCTGCAGTGAAGGGTTATTCTTCTGCACTTTCTTCATTTCCCATAGACCTACATTTGGAACGTCTTGCTTGTGCTTCTTCTCTTGACCTCTACTGGTGCCTGCAGATGCCTCATCAGTCTTCTTTCTGTCTAGTTCCTCCAAGCTTCTACTACTCAGTATGTTTCCAATCACCAAGTCTTATATCAGTGCTTTTATACACATGGCCTTAAGATCTCCCATGTAGTATGGAGTGTGCACCTTTATTCTTCTATCCCATCAATCAGCACACATAGGCATACCTTGCCCATCATCTGGTCATCAGATACTAGACTGGTTCTCACTACTGCACCAAGTGTCTTGTAGGACCTTCACTTTTTTCTTCCTCCAACATAGCCTTCACCTACTGGCATGTTGTGATTTGTTATCACCTCTCGACATTTGTCATATGCTCCAATCGCCACTGGCACTGTTGATCTGTTTACTATCTTGAGATGACCATTAATCATGCAAGGATTATTCATGGAAAAAGCACTTCCTTCTTATGGTGAATCTGAT